AATTCATGGATGAACCTTAAAGCTCTAACAAGTCAAAGATTAAAAAAAAAAAAAAAACCTGTGCATTTCTTTCTCATTAATAACATTTCTCTCCGTGGTGCAAAAATATAATGAATGTGTTCACATATTACAGACATCCCAATTAAGACACAGGTAACCTATAGTAGCGACAAACCCGCCCCCTCATTATGCCTTTCACATTCTGGACTGCTGATATTTAGGGTTCACAGGCATTAAAATATATATATTTTTTAAAAAGCTGGTGAAATAATGAGGGACTCAAACCTTTTTGAAGAACTCTGTGCAGTCTCGGGTGGACTCACTGACATTTCAGATAAAAAAAAGTCCTACTCCTTATATCTGTTGAAAGAGAACAGAGCTCTGAATCAGTCTTTGGACACGCAGCTACATTTCATTCTTCCGTGGTACATTACATGAAAAGGAAGTGAACAAGGAATTGCAAGGAAGTGAACTAAAAACAGACATCCTTTACAGCAAAATAAAGCCACATGTAGCACAAGTCCCTGCAAAACATGCACTTTAAATTTGAAACGACTGTGCCATCTTCAAACCGAGAGAGAAACAGTATGCACTTCTTTAATCACTTTTAAGGAAATGCAACACTTGTTTAGCAACTTCTGCAGAGTACTGACACCTGGCAGATCTATAAACACAGTCCTGCAAACAAAACTGAACATGCTGAGGAGGAAGTCAAATAGTGACTACGAGCAGCATCTCTTACGGAGGATCAACAGATGGATATTGTAAACAAATGTTACGTTAACGAACTGTAGTGATAGCATGTGCTTCTTCCTCAATACGCAGGGGCTTGGCTGACAGCTGTGAGACTGACAGGCAGGAGGCAGCACAAAGGAACAGATGCACTGTGATGGTGGCGTGCAGTAGTGTGTGTGTGTGTGTGTGGGGGGGGGGCTGCAACCTCCAGTAGCCAACAGTACCCCCCCCCTATGCATTCTGCAAACTGGCTGAATGCAACACGCAAACAAGTGGAATATGCATACCCATAATAGAAAACGTATCTTGGAGGCTAAATGACAACACAAGAGGTGTCTGTCGGACTCGGAGAGAGAGAGTAACTACACTCAGCTCTCACTCAAAACATTTCAAAACAGGGTAGCAAACCAAAACTAGCACAACCCCCTGCAGCACACCAACCCAAGCTGGGAAACTAACAACTAAGTGAGCTATTACTGACAGCAGTGTCTGCTTGAATGTTTATCTTTACTTCGCATGAATTTCCAGCTGCAGCCCGCTAGTTGCGAGAAGAAAAAAAAAAAAACCCTCCACGGCACAAACTGCAACACACGGGAGTTGATGTTTCGAGCTAAAGCTAGCTGCTACAACCACAAACGCTTACCTGCAACAAAAAAAACCTAAAAAAAAACCCTTGCATTAGCGACAATAGTGGTGTTTTTAAAAATTATGAGCTAGTTGTGCTAACTAGCTGGTGACTGTTGTTGGGTTAGCCTGCTCGTTTGAGGTTTAAATAAAAGGGGGGGGGGCGGCGATTCAAATAACACAAGGAAGCGCTGATCGAGAGTGAAATGTTGGATGTTTTAGAAAACGCGTTTCGGGTTAGCCAGCTGCACAATATTCTGTTTCCGTGGCGACGGCCCCAAATCCACGGGTTCGACTGTTTCCGAGGCGACGGCCCCAAATCCACGGGTTCGACTGTTTCCGAGGCGACGGCCGCCCCCCCCAAAAAAAAAAAATCCACGGGTTCGACTGTTTCCGAGGCGACGGCCCCCCCAAATCCTCGGGCTCGACGAGTGACATCCAGTTGAGGCCGTGCGCCTCAAAAAACACACCTAGCTAGCTTGGCTGGCTAGTTCGCTAGCTTCCGTTACCTCCCGGTCAACGATTAACGACGCCGTAGGTGGTCTTTGCTGCAGAATATATATATATATTTTTTAACGGTTCCGTTAACATTTGCATTTAAAAAAAAAAAAAAGTTTGGTTCCCGAAGAAAGATGCGTGATAGTATTTACCTTTCGGATGTTGCGTTGAAGGGAGGGGAATGTTTTAGCTTTAGGTTTGTGTCCGTGTCCGTATCTCTAGCTCCCCCTTTCTTCTCTCGCAGCTCCTCCAGAAGGAACTCAATTGGCTTGCCAGGCTAGCTGCCGAGCTAGCTTGCTGGTAGCTATCAACAATAATCCGGGTCGGACCGATTCGTTCTTCTTCCGTCACACACGGGCGAAGGTTTCAACGCACATTCACGCGGAAACATTCGTTCTTCGGCGTTTTAGTCGGTCCGCGCCGACGTAAACAACGCGCGCAGCCAATTTCGACAATAAATGAGAAATATGACGATTGTTGCGATCATCAAGAGGCTCTCCTCTCGTAGAACAAAATGCCGACCGGAAGTTCTGCCGTCTGACTGACCAAAGATCTCAGGAGTGACTCCCTCCATCGGCGCCAAACAAAATGCCATGCGACGTTTCGTGTCGCGGCCGCTAGAGGGCGCTGCAACACAAGTTTACCAGCCCGGGTTTTTAGATTACTGTACTTTGATGTGGTGGTTAGTTTAAACTGCTGAATATGAATAGAACTTCAGGCTCCTTTGTGCCTTCTGCCATCAGACTGGATACAGCAGGGGGTCCTACAGTCTGTTTCCTTAAACACTGTTATAATATGTCTACACTCATGCACTTTAACTTATGTCAGTACTGCCCAACTCTGTTTTACATTTACATTTAATCTTTCATATTTAATTTACAACCATTTACGACTCTTTTTTTGCACATTTACATTTAATCTTTCATATTTAAGACTAGTAATGTTTAGTTAAATCCTGGTTGTATATATTCACATTCTTAGTTTTGATATTTTTAGTGCTTATTTACTTTGTATTTAATATTATATCATGTTTAGATTTCCTAACATTGTGCTTTTTGCTCATATTGTGTGTTGGATAACCTGCTGCTGTAACGCCACAATTCAATAAAGTGATTCTATTCTAGTTGCTGTCACACTGACATGTACCCTGCACTCTGTCACTCATTTCATATTATTTCTAGATGCTTATTTTGATATTTATTGCTTAGTTTTGCCACCTTATTTAAACTCTCTCACTTTATCTTATAACTGGTCACTTTAAATTCAACTTGCCACTTAATATGTCTTAATGTCCTGTATATTTTTTAGTGTATAGTTAAGATAGTGTATAGTTTACTTAATTATAATAGTTGTAAATACATAGTACCTGTATCTTATATAATAATATATATATATTATAATTGTATTAGTACTCATACATGCTCTTCTTGTTGTCCTTTCAGCTGCAACACTTGAATTTCCCCACTAGGGATCAATAAAGGATTATCTTATATCATTTTATCTTGTCTTAGAATAGAATATTATTTATTGTCATTGCACATAATACCACAAATTTTGCTGTGCTTCTAAAAATTCAGTAGAAAAAAATAATAACTTTCATCACACATAGTCACACACACATCCTTAAAAGCTTCAAAAAGTTATTGACAAAGTTAAAAAATAGTTTTTTTAAGAAATGTAGTGCATTCGCAGTGTTTTTAACCTCCACATTACAAGGATTGAATAAATGTTTTGTAGGATAGTAAGTCATGGTGCACAATGAAATGTAACCACAACCCAATGTACAGAGGCTATTGGCCTTCCAAATCGGCGGCCCAGGTACTAAATAGAATGGATATATTTTGAAGAAGTTTTAATTTCTGATTCATTTTTTATTATCATTTATACTTTATTAATCCCGCGAGGGGAAATTTGGTTTTACACTCTGTTTAATGAACATGAACACAAACATAGGCTGAAATACACACACATGCACAAACAGGATCCTATGGACATGCATTAATGGAGAGGTCTCAGATTGAGGGGGCTGCCCACAGCAAGCACTCCAGAGCAGTTTTTGGTGCCTTGCTCAAGGGCACCTCAGCAGAGCTCAGGAAATGGACTGGCACCTCTCCAGCCACCAGGCTTCCCAACCCCAGACAGAGCTACTGCCGCCCCTATAATCCAAATACACAAAGTCATCTGTAATTTAAGGTAAACACAAAGGGATGTCCTGAGTTTTCTGGATTACAGCACAGTTATAAAACCAGGTGCACTTTCAAAATTTACATACTATGTTTTTTTTTTCCCCAGCAGCATGAAGCAAACATCAGATCACTGTTTGACCTCAAGGTGTCAGCACAGGCAGGCATTTGGCAAACACAGGGAAACAAGAGCTGCTCTCTCCTCCAGTAGAATATATTTCTGTTGTTATCGTCAGTATCGGTACCTTCCATTCACCTGGGCAGTTCTTAGGTATGACTATTGGTCGTTTCCAAGCGGCTGCTCTCTAACCGCTCATGCTCTAACTCGATCCAAGAAGTTAAAGAGGACATATTATCCCCCTTCTCCACCTTTTCAAACAGTCTCCTGTGGTCTAAATGAAACATCTGTGCTGTGCTTTGGTCAAAATATAACATGAATCAAGCACCAGAGGAGGTCTGTGACCCTGTATAAACCAGCTCTCTCAGAACGCTCCGTTTTGGTGTGTGTGTCTCTTTAAATGAAATAACCCCCCCCGGTAGACATCAGTCCTCTGTAGTGAGAGTAAAAATGGCAGACCCGCGTAAATGATTTTTCTAGGCTGGGGGTGGAGTCCATGAGTGGAGATATCAGGGGAGGGGAGTGGATTTTTTTTTTTACCAGAATCCCACTGTGACATCACAAGGAGAGCAAAATTAAAACGGAGCATTTTTCTCTGTGTTGTGAGACTTATGCAGACCACAAACAAAGGACTGGATGGATTTATTTCACATTTTGTGGGTCAGTAGACACTCAGGTTACCCAAACATATGTTTAAAAACACTGTGGAAAATGATTTTTTTATAATATGTCCTCATAAAGATTTGAAACATTTGAAGACATCTACACATTAATTTGTCTCTATAGAGGCCTGGAAAGTATGACTCCAATTTTATATTTTAAAAATGATAAACACACAGCCACTGATTTCATATTTTTATTGAAAAAAAAAATCCATGCAAGATTAAAACTACAAACTTTTTCCAGTCTGTGTGTGTGTGTGTGTGTGTGTGTGTGTGTGTGTGTGTGTGTGTGTGTGTGTGTGTGTGTGTGTGTGTGTGCGTACTCTCACATGTGATTTTATGAAACACTCAGATCAATAAAGAACTGCAAAGACAGCAACAGTAAACAAAGGAACTGTTCCGTTTCCTCGAGTGTTTGGAGGAAAACATTTGGTCCCTTAAATCAGCCACTTTTGTACTTTTGTAAAAGGAACTAGAGGGATCGTTAGTTCGGTCATTAGAGTTTCACAATAGCTTCTTTACATATATGCAATCCTCCAGTAACCCTTTACAATTACAATTCAAATCTACAGTTATTGTACACGTTTATCTACATTTCTCTATACAAGTACAGTATATTCAGAGGAACCTTCTATACAAAGCATCTTCTACGTAAATGTTACATTTGTTATACATACTGATCGGCTCAAATGCTAAACATCACCTGCTAATTCAAGTTAACTACAATAACAAATGGGGAAATTGAAGAAGTGAAATCCTTGTTTTTACAACATGCATCCACATGAAAATCAATTAAAATGTTTGTTAAGATTTTATCACTTAAGGGAAACTAAATTAAGAATAGAAAATAGGCTACTTGCCTATAGACTAGCAAAAAAATTAAAATTATATTTTTCTAATTACGTTTTTACTCATTCGATATTTTAAAAAATCCAGTTAATGTTACAAATCATGGATATTGTTAAAAGACTGACTAAAAAATTACCATTAGAAATGTTTGAAAGGCATTCATTACTTTTCTACGGAAGCCCTGAGTGGACATGCATCCATACATTTCATATTACTCCATTCTCCTGTGTTCACGAGTCATTTCCGATTGTTCTCTTGAGATCTGCACTTATTGAAGTTGTTATCTCGAGATAACAACGCTGGTTTCACCGTGATAACGTGTTGTTTTCATGAAATTTTGAGAAAACAACTGAAGTGAACCTGTTATCATAAAAACCAAGGTTGTTATTCCAAGTCGAGATACTGAAAAAGCAACCGGAAATGACTCATTAAAGGAGCAATATGTAGCTTCAGTGTTTATCCAGCTCTGCATCGGTCTGTAAACCTTTCTGTGTTCTAACCTCTCTCCGTTCATGCAGAGGTCGGGCAGAATCAGTTATATCTCAACCAGATCGCTAGCCTGCTTTCTTGCTACAACAACAAACCGTTCAGCACCAGAATCTAAAGTTAGAAGGAGGACATATGGCTGCTGCATTGTTGAGAAACCAACACTTCAGCATAGCATGTTTTCTTTAATGTCTGATGCTATTGTAAGCTCATTTTATGATTTAATTCAGTAGATATCTTACATATTGGACCTTTAATATGTTAAAACACAGTTTGATAAAATGTATGGATGCATGTCCTCTTAGGGCTTCCTTAGTTTTCCCCTTAAAACAGCTGGTTAGCGATTTATTTGGAATCTGTTTGTTATGGTTTAAAACAGATTATTGTGATTTTAAAGCATGTGTTTGGTGCTGTATTTTGGTTGAAATATAATTTCAGGTAGTTGATTCAAATTCGTAGTAAAGCCACAGGATGGCTTAATGCTTTTGGTCAGACAGTTTGAATGATTGAAGGGGGAATTTGGAACAAACTTTTGCCAAGATGAAAGCTCTGTTTGCCCATCAGCAGCACTTATTTGGACAGTCAGGAGAGAAAGAAAAAGCTACACGACATCCTTCATTCATTCACTTTAAGTCTGTACACAAAATCATTGAAAATAAAGCCACTGATGTCTATACATTAGTTGTAAATTCACAGCCCTTTTTCTCCCAAAGAATTTGGCCCAGTCAGCCCAGTGTATACGCAAAAACACCTCACTCATTTCACATCACTCGCCAGACAGATTTGGACACCCATTTCACTCACAATTGTCCTCATGCAACAACACTCAAACTTAACAAAAACAACAACTTTAAAGCCAGAAAAAGCTGGCGCAGGTGTGTTAAACTCACAGCAATACTGGCCTCTAGTGGGTGAAATCACTCATCACAGCTCTGAGTGAAGTTTGAGATGACATGCAGGCCACGGTCGACTAAGTTCTACAGTCGTTCATCCGTATTAGTAAACAGCTGCCAACCACTTTTGGCAGAAACAAATGGTACTTTCAGGAAGTTTCATAGCACAAACCCTTAGAAAAAAAAAAAGAATTCAACATTTCAAGTCTGCAGTGTGTAAGGAAGGTCCACACTAGACCGCATACAAGTGAAATTCATCTTGGCTGAAATATTTTCTAGCTGTAGATCAACATAATTTGGAAAGTAGTTCGAAGCAGTTCAATGGTTTCCCTAAGAAAGTTTGCAACCTTCCCCCCTACATCTTGGTCTCACTGGCCGCAGGCCTCTCGTTCTCGTACTCGTTCTCCTGGCAGATGAGCTGGTACGGCTTCTTGTCTGCCTCCTCCACCACCGAGTTCCCAGCCTCAGGGTCCTTCTTCTGCAACTCGTGGCGAGAAAGGTGTTCCACAATACCTGCACCGATGGAGTCTCCGAGGACGTTGGTGGTGGTGCGCAGTCGGTCCCTGAGGACAGACAGAGGAAGAAGTGAGGAAAAGGACGAGGGAGAAAGAGAAAGATGAGACATGTCACAACAAGATGACAGCAGAGAAGAGAGGCAAGATAAAAACAGGTAGAGATAAAGAAGATGAGACGTGATAACAGGAGGACATAAGAGAAGAGAAAATTAAAAAAATTGGACATTAAAAGAAAATTGAAATAGGATGAGAAAAAAGTAGAGGAGACGAAACAAAATTAAAGAAGGCAAACAAAAAAATTGCAATTGAAACAGATTATAAACAAGATAAAGGACAACAGAAGACAACACAAGATGAAACAAGAAAAGTAAAGAATGGACGACAGGAGAGAGCCGAAGACAAAACACAAAAAAACTGTAAAGCTGAAACATGATAAGAAAAAAGGAGAGGAGAATGGACGAGATACAAAACAAGATGAAACAAGACAAGACAAATAAATTAAATAAGAAAAATAAAAGAGACAATGAAAGACAGAAAAGACAAAGCAAGATCAAACAAGATCAAACAAAATACAAATAAAAGACAGCCGTGAACAAAACAGACAAAGCAAGACATCAGAAGACGAGATGAATTTAGAAGAAATAATGCAAAGATTTATGAAGGACAAGATGAGACACCAAAAGAGAAAATGAGACAAAAATACGACAAGAGGACGGAAGGAAGACGGTTATCAGAAGACGGGACACGATTAGAAATGAGGAAAGAGAAAAGATGAGAAGAAACAAAACAACAGTAGAGTAAACAAAGAAACAGAAGAAACAAAGACCAGAAGAAGCGAGACAAAAGAAGATGCAACAAAAACATTTTTGTTGTTGTTTTATGAAAAGACAAAAAAATGCATTGTATCAAATAGACAAGAGTAACAACTAAAGATTTAGGAAATGTGTTCGTAAATGTGGGTACGCAAGAAATATGGAGGCATGGTGTTCATGCTCCTGGCAGTCTTCAGTCCACATGAATCAAAGCCAGAAGGAGGAAGTAGAGCTTTGCGCTGGGATTGGACACCAACTGAATAAAAACCAGATGGTTGGAGAGACGTGGAATGCGAAGGAAATGCCTATGGAAGCTGCCATTTGATCCTTTTTAACCCTTAAAATCTTTCCCCGTTCAAAGTTGATTGAATTCATACCAAACGGTGCGCTCTCTCCTCACAGCTTGAACCCTCTCACCGCTCTTCCAAAAACAACATTTTGCAGCCTCAAATCATTAGTTTTCTAGGATTTTACACCGCCATACTTACAGAAACCAATCGACAGCAATGATGAGCGTGATGTCATCGGTGGGCAGGCCTACAGAGGTTAGCACTATCACCATGGTGACCAGTCCAGCCTGAGGGATTCCAGCTGCTCCAATGCTGGCTGCTGTTGCCGTGATACTGACAAGGGGGGGAAAAAGTTTAAAAAAGAAGAAGAAGAGAAGTTTGAATCATCTAAATAAAAAAAAAAATCAAACATCTGAGTGCAGCTGTTACAGACATGTCCTTGGATTGACCTGTCAGTCATTACTCGGTAACAGCACAGAAGAGGATCATTCCTTTGGTTGAAATACTATCCTCAATCAAACACCATGACTGGTGGTTAAAGTCATTGGTGAAGCCGTAACATGTGGGTTTTAGGGGCTTGGAAATGCTTCCAATGAGTTAGGCAACTTTTCTTTTCTCTATAATGAAAGACAAATGGAGGCCTAATGGAAATATTCCCCCAAGGCAGGCAGGCGTTTATGACTCAAATCCCTTTGTTTCCATTTAAGTTGCACAAAAATCACTAGATGTAAAACTTGTATTAATTAAATGACTGATTAAATGTGTACATGTTAGCAGGTATATTTCAAGTACTGTGCATGACATACCTGATGGTGAGAATCTGTCCAAAGTTGAGGTCATAGTTATTGACCTGAGCGATAAAGATGGCTGCCAGGGCCTCGTATAGCGCAGTGCCATCCATGTTTATGGTGGCGCCAACAGGGAGCACAAATCGGGTCACGCGTTTGTCCACCTTGTTGTTCTCCTCCAGGCATTTGAAGGTGATGGGCAAAGTGGCAGAACTGAGAGGGAAAAGGAGGAACAATATGATTAAAAGTGAAAAAATGCAAAATGAAAAAAAAGAACTTGGAAATCATATAAGAAGGTCGATGAATCCGTGCAGTCCCATACCTGGATGACGTTCCCAGAGCAGTAACCAGCGCCTGCAGAATCCCGGCGATGAACACAAAAGGGTTCTTCCTGGTGATGACGAAGTAAAGCGTTGGCAGGACCACGATGGCGTGGATGAGCAGGCCACAGATGACGGTCACTGTGTACATTCCCAGCTGTCCACCCATGGATGTGATGTCGTCCATCTCCACAATCTTACCCGCAATCAGGAACAGGATACCAATGGGGGCATACCTGAGGAATGGAGGCGTCTTGTTTTGACTGTTTTTCCAACACCATCTCTAAACGCATCAATCGCTGCTGGTACTTACCACATGATGATGGCGACCAGCCTCATGATGGCCTCGTTTAGACAGTCGAAGAAGTCCTTGAGGGCCTGCCCCTGTTCTTTCATACTGCCGATGATCAGACCGAAGCACATGGAGAACACCACCAGGCCCAGAGCGTTGACCCCGTTCACTGACCCCGGCACCGGGATCATCTCCTCCCGGGTTATCTCATGGCTACCATTGACAGCGAATATCGTGTCATTCACTGTCATGGTAACGTGGACTACTCTCTTGGCATACTGTGTCTTAAACTGGATTAAAAATAAACAAAAAAACGGTAGTGATTAAAACCTGGGAAAATACGATTTTATACTTTAGGGGAAATACTTTGAAGCACTTGCATGTCAGAATGCACCTGCTTTCAAGTTTCTACCTTACAATTTGAAACTCAGAATTTCACAACCTCACAAAAATGAGGAAGTGAAAGTGGCTTGAGATAAAGGCTTTGGTTAAAAAAACTGAACCATGTTAGGTGAAATCAGGTGCTTTTTTTGAGTCCCGCCCGTGTCTTAAATACGTTTTAGAAAACTCCCTTTTGTTCCTGATATGTTGTAATTATGAGCAAAAAGTGAATCAACCACTGGTTATGTTAAAAAATAAATTATGATTCACCGTATTAACAGTACATTCAGATGGGACAGCTGAATTTATTAAACTTACTGCTAGTATATCAGAGACAGAGGCCAAAGTATGGAAGCCCAGAGTGGACATGCATTCAAACATTCTATTAACTCAGTTTTCCCATGATGACACGTAGTTTGTTTTCTCGAGATGAACTTGTGTATCTTGGATCCTCAGAGTTGCAAAAGCCCAAAATAAACATAGAAGTAGGTTAAACTTATCTCATCAGTGTGGGCAATGGCAGAATGGCGAGTTGTGGTCTGGCCTATCACAGGGACAAGACTATTGGGCCTGCGCCCCGAAAGTAATGGTGCTAGAGACCGAGGACCCCGAGGTCACTGGAGGTAATTAAAGATAAGACAAAGATAAGATAAACTTTATTGAGCCCCCATAGGGGAAATGTTTTTGTCACAACAGCTCAAGAAACAGGAATATAATTATCAAAAATAACAAGAAGTTAAAACATATGTGCATCAGTTAAATAAAGGGAGAAAAAATACAATAACAGAACAATACAAGGTATTTACACTTCCACTTGTGGGAAGAGTTATTATTATTAAAAACACACACAGTGTGTAGCATTATTGATATGGGTCATGAGGTGGTATAGGTTGTTAAGGCATTTATCTTTTTTTTTACACATTACATTAATTCCAGCATAAATCTCCTTAAACAAATATAGTTTTATTTTAAATTGAACTACTTTTTTTGCATTTATTTTCACAGGAATGGGTAAAATATGTCATTTCAAATCATTTTAATATTTCTGAAGACATCTAGAGACCCCGTCTCAGTGTGACCCCTGACCCCCCACTTTGGGAACCACTGTTCTAGATCACCAGAAAGTTAGTTATCATTAGATTATGAGATGCATCAGTCTGTTATAATGGGACAACCATCTTTCCTATCCAAAGATAAAAAGATAAATATGTTGATATTTCAAGATATAACAACCAGAAGTTACTTGTTAACACAGGAAAATACAGAAAATAAAAAATGTATGAATGCATGTCCTCAGGGCCACCGTACATACGAATGAAGAGAAGAGAAAACTATTACAGAGAAACCCTGTGTTGACTTAAAGAGAGGATTTGATTAGGGGTCGATTTGTAGCTTACCTGTTTGGTGCAAGCCTCCACAAGGTTAGGAGGAAACATGTTTCTAGAAAACACAAAAAAAAAAAAAAAAAATGTTTCACAAATTAGAAATGCTAAAAAAAAAAAAAAAAAAAAGACAAACAACTGTTCTCAAAATGTAAATAACTACAGAAGCCCTGAGTGGACATGCATACATGCATTTTATTTACTCCATTTTTTTTTTTTTCAATATCTTCACTTATTTATCGAGATTAAAACACTATTTTTCCAATGACAACAAATAAATTTCAGTTGTATTTTGAGATCTCAACTTATTTTTCACTGGATGTGAGGATAACAAAGCTGGTTTTCCAGTTATAACAGATTAAGTTATTTAATTGTCTTGAGATACAGAAGCATGTTTCCTGGTGATAACAGGATATATTCAGATGTCTAGAAAACAAAACAATAGGCTGGTCACTATGGCCAGAACACAAATAAAAATGAATGGATGCATGTCCACTTGGGGCTTCTGTAAGAAACACATAAGGGCCTTCTGATATTGACTTTGAAATCTTCAGATGGCACAGAACTTGTGTGTGCAGTCACCTGATCAGGTCGAGGAAGGCGTCTGCAGGGCTGATCTGCTCTATCTTCGGCTGCTTGGCGAACTCATCCCTTGATCCTTTCCCAGGGTGAATGATGAGCACCATGACGATACCGATGAACACAGCGATCACGGTGGTGGTGGTGTAATAGATCACAGCCCTCATGCCCATTTTCCCAGAAGCACGGCTGTCCAGAGCGGCCATACCTGAACAGGACACACCATGTAAACATGCGTATATCTGGACTACAGGTATTGTACTCTGCAGGATTTCCCAAACAAGTATTTATCCACTGGTAGGGTCGTCAAAATGAGACAGTGATTTAACAATAAAGTGCTTAAAACTAATCATATTCCATGACATTTTGTGCCGCAGATACTTTTTTACTTGTGTTTTTGTGAGTTTTAGTGATGATGACTTAAAATGTAATGGCAGGAAGTACCAGAATCTTATTTTGCTACGTTCCCCTATAGTTCAGGATACTCTGTGCCAAATGTCATATTTGTATGGCTATTGATGCAATTATAACAAGATAATATGTGACTTTACATTATCTTGACTGAAGCATTTAAAAAAAAAAAATTTTTGGCCCCCCAGGACCAAACGGCCCTGAGTTGGGAGTAGTTATCAGCTTGTGATGGCCCAAGGTACAGTATGGGCTAATTAAAAATAATATTTAAAAAAAAGGGACCTATCTCCCGCACGAATACTATCAGAAGCATGAATGGATATTAGTGCTGGATTAATTCCAAACACTTCCTGTAGAGGGAGCAGCAGTGCTTTTAGCTACTTTGTGGCATCATGGAAATTGGGGATAATACCAGTGAGAGGTGTTTTAATGATTAATGCAACAATCTCTCACTCATTGCCGAGTTTCATGCATCAATTTCCTATACGATAAGAAACATTTTACTTCCAGTAACATATCCTACAGATGATAAAACATAAAATGTTTCCTTCAGTGAAGAGAGGCATTGAAGAAGTTTGATTAAGTTCCAAATAATGTGCATTAATCGCAGTATTAAGTGAATAAAACGGCTGTGTGTTTCTGACTTTATTGCTGTTTTGTAGGTGGCGTGTAACAACAGCGTGTAGTTGCAGCGTGACCTCAGAGTTTGCATGAATGTGTCACTTACCACAGCCCCTCTGAGTATACTGCTACAGCCTGGGAAAAACCTGTAATTACAGGTGGAATACACCTGTCTGGATTATCTTCTAAACTATCTGTGACAACAAAGAGCGGCAAAGAAACATAATCTGACTCTGACCTTTACAGGCGGAAAAACTACACCTACTGCAGAGCACCCAGGGAGTCGGGGAACAGATCCACCATAACACATCTGGGGACATATTCGTACTCAGACAGTGCAGGGACAAACTCTGCACCTTTGGAAAAACTTTATTGATCATACAACAGTGCAACTTGCCTGTGTGTGTGACGTTAGCAGCAGACAGTTACAGTTTAACAGACTGACCTCAATTGAGCACTTTTAAAAATGTGCAACAAAAAATGACGTCTCTAAGACAGAAACTGTCCAAGAAAGTGCACGTAGCAACAGCTGGATACAGACAGAAACATTTGTTGCAGCAGTTTTTGGAAAAAAAATAATAAAGCGGCAGAGAAATCGTCCTCTCTGCAGCACCCAAAATTAAAAGTGGGAAGAAAATAAACATATAGGAGGTTGATGCTGGGGGCTTAAAACTGTCCCCCACGGCTCTAATAGCATTAAACAGACTTTGCAGGGATGAGCGTGGTGAAAAGAACTGCAGCCATTGGAAACAGACAAGCTGGAAAACAGACAAGCGGCCTCAATAGGCGTGACAGTGACGCTGTATTTTCAAAGTGTCAGCTCCTATTATGGCCATTATCTTCATTCAGAGCTGTACAAGGCAAAGCGGGTCTTTGTGTGTAGAGAGATGTATGTGTTCCTTTCATTCTTGTGTGTGTGTGTTTGTGCACTTGTGTGTGTGCATGGGCGTACCTACTTCCCCAGCTATGGCCTTCCCTGCTCCTCTTGTCTCAACATGCCCACTTAGCCTTTTATCCGATTCTTTTTGATCCTCCTCGTCCTCCTCTCCCTTATTCGCCTCTCCAAAATTCCTCGCCTCCTCTCTGTACCTCCTCTCCATCCCTTACCTCTTGTTTCAGAGCGCCCCTAAGTACCCCTCCCCTGACCCCCTCCTCTCTTCTTCTTCTTGCACGCTGATCTTATTGCTGCAATCCTCCTTTCATAGCCACCCTTATCCTCCCAACGATCCATCCCTCCCTCTCCTCTGTTCCCCTCCTTTTCCTTTTCTGACAGCCCTGGGAAAACTTGTTGACTTAGTCAGGCCCGCACGCACACAATGATCCCCAGGCTGTTGTCCGGGCAACAACGGACGCAGCCTCACCAATTCGGTCCTTTTCAAAAGAAGCGAGGTTGAAGGAGATGCAGGGAGAATGACTTTCTTTCTCATAAGGGGGAATGTTCATCAAACACAAAAGTGAAGGCCTGCTTTGAGGGGGGAAAGTTGAAGCGCAGGACATGGCAACTGCAAGAGGTCCGTCCAGAGGGCAATTAACAACCACGGACCCCCCCCTCCGGCAAAGAACAACTCCTGCGCACCAGCAAGATTTGACCTGAAGGTTTGTAGTCCATGCATTAGTATATTGAGTTTACTAGTCAGAGTAGCTTTTTTTTTTTCTGGAAACTAACCTGCTTTAATTACAAATTTTCATTGGCTCCAGTCACTCAGGTGTGCTTCCTCTGTCTTTGATTGTATTTCAATGAATCTGTGTGGATGTTGAGTGCTTAAGTTGAACAAAAGAAGGAGTTTGAACATCTCATCTTCAGCCCCATATTGTGAGCTGAATTTCTAATTTGTCACCCCAACTTTATCTGGACTTTTTCCTGCCAGTCTCTAACTAAATTTAAGAAGACCAAGAAGTTGCAGAGAGAAGTTGCCAACTTGTGAATGCAGCAGGTGATATTCAGGAAAATTCCCGGTTAAGGCAAAAACTGTCATCAGATTGTCAGACTCCTTTGCTCGGCCTTTCATGTTGGGGAATGTTGTTCTGTGACTTCTGCAGCATCCTTTTGACATCAAGTGCTGCCTACTGAGACCTAGTTCTTCCATCCAACAGGAAAATCTCTGCTGCGAGGGACATGTGTGAATGAGGAACTCTAGAAAATTCAAGGGACAGGCTTTCCTGAAATCCACGTGTGAAAGGGGCTAATTGTTGACGTTTTAATGTAGATAATGAAGAGATCTTGTACCACAGAAATGTTCAAATATGTTGTTATTGTGACTGTGGGTATTTGAGCAAGCATTAAGTGTGTCAAATGAGTGTCATTTAATTCAAGTCTTTTCCTTTTTTTCAATGTCAGGATCTAGTAAACAGTCTGTAGTCTCTATGCTTAAACGTTAACAATACTGGTCTTCACTAATCTCATGATTATGAGCATTTCTTTGGGAGGTGCAGAAGTGGAAAACAAAGCATTGATATATATTTCCTATGAGTTAAATTTTGATACGCTTGCTATTTTAAGTTGCATATTCCAAAATTTCCGACAACTTAATTTTCTCTGCTGCACTAAATGTCAGGCAATGACACTTTTATATGTGTTACATTTTATCCGAGGCTTAACTAATGCACGCATGTATGCATATATTTATATACATGCAGTATATTAAAACCACAGCAGAAGATCAAATATGCAGAGTTCCAAATGGACCATCTCCAATAACACTGTGACTCTAATGAACACAGTCAAGGACAATTCTGGAGAACATTTTGGACCGACATTTTACAGCTCGGAAGGAACATACTTTTAGGAATCAGTGGTAACATTTACAATTAGAAAAAATACTTTGCAAATCTATTTAATGGGACGGCAGGGCAGGAGAGAAATGGGCCAATCAAGGTTGAGAATTGCTCAAACTCCTGCAAATGTCTAGAATGTTTATTGTTTATATTTACTAGACCTTTCCCCGTTGAAATTTTAACACAGAAATGTTGCCAATAAACACATTTTTGCATGTTAGACTGTGTGCAGAAAATTTGCTTTCAGTTTTTCAAATTTTTGAAAGTGACCTACAGAATCCTTGAGTTTCCATTATTTTAAAACGTCATCATTGTCATACGCTGACTCTCAAAGAACTTGTCCTGAAGGAACCGCAACACACACCATCTTTCTCCTATCAGTGTTTTTGCTGTTGTAACTCCTTGTCCTTGTTTTCCCCCTGACTCCCCCTCCTCCTACAGTAGACTAATTCTCCCCCCTTGACGTGACCTCCTCTGTAATCATCCTTCTCTTCCTCTTTTTTTACAACCCACATCCCCTCTCCCTGTCCAGCCCCTTCTTGGCCCTGTAAAAAACTCTGCGGTGGACCCTGGGCTCTCTTAATGAAATTCCTGGATACAATGTGGAATTTGAAGCAAACCAACATTAAGTGGTTAGTTGGAAATGCTGTTGTAAATCCAAATCCACGTTTATGAACAAAAGGGATCAATGACGACGCTACAGCTACCTGCTCTCTTTTTCTCACACTCTTGTTGAACCTGTCATACTTTCCTTCATCTGCTACTTTTCATGGCTCCTCTGAACTCTGCTGAAGGATACTGATTCAAAATTCAGCTGCATTTTAAAAGGTTAAACAAGAAAATTAAACTGTCTGAGGCAGAATTTAGCCTTTGGAGCATGACCCAGAGTTTGCACAGGAACGCTGAGTTGGCAGAAAATAAGTCAGAAAGCTAAACCCTCTTGTTCTTATTATTTATTACTTATTACTCATACTGTCTTCATGTACGTAAAGCAATTGTTTTAGAGGTGGAGTCTCCTGAGTTTCCATTGAGGATGTAAGACAATAAGTTTTATAGGAAAGTTTTTCTATCCAACAGTGCAAACAGCAAAAAAGCCACATGATTGAGAAATTGTCTTCAGGATCAAGATTAGGTTTCGTCCTCTAAAACTACACAAAGTCTTTCAACTTGTAAAATGTTGTATGTCTTTAAAACTACAGTCGCAGTTTCAGCCAGACTCTGACAAACAACACAGTATAAGAAGAAAAACCGACACATTCACAAGCATCTGTTGAGTCAAAATCGTCATAAAGTATGCAGCTGTGTTTCAGAGTTACACACATGTATACAACATGGACGTCACCCGTCAGTTTCTGAAGAAGTGTTTTGAAGCCATCTGCACCTAACTTTCAATCAATCAAGAAACAGAGGAAGAAGTGGAGCTGAGGCGTGTCTTAAGCCTCCTGGAAAACATTTTAGGTCAGTCAAATAAGCCACACTCACAGGTATGAATAACCCTTTAGCCTTAATATAATCAAAACAGATGAGCCGTAAACGTTTTTACCAATAAAGAAATGAGCTATAGGGAACTGTTTTCTGAAGCAGGCTGTAAACGTGATTGCATGCTTTTAAAATGGCCTTTTCAATATGTTAATATGGGATGTAATGCAGATTACAGGGCTTTTGGAGCCAGCCTCAAGTGGACACTCATGGAACTGCAATTCTTTTTTTTTTAAATTCTGCATTGGCTTCATTTTCCAACACAGACGAGTGTGTGTGTAGAAGTTGTAGTGGTTGCTGATGTGGCTCTTGACCTCAGTACTGCAAAAGAATGCCAATGAAAGGCTCATGACGCCCTTGGGGAATATGGCTGACGGAGTCTCTACACGGATGAACGACTGTGCTGGATCAGATGTCAATTTGAGGGAGATCAAAAAGTCCTACTATATGTATTCAATTCAATTCAATTTATTTGTATAGCGTCAACTCATAACAAGTGTTATCTCAAGACACTTTACAAAAAGCAGGTAAAATACCTTACTCTTTGTCTGTTAACATTACAAAAGAGCAGGAGTAAACTGGACTAGAACATTGATCATTATTCTTGATAAGGGATGAGTTTAATGGAGACGAGTGTGCTCTTACATGCCTGCCAGAACACTCCCCCCCCCCCTCCCCTCCCCACCGGATTGTTGATGGACGGTCTGCCTCCCCCCACCCCCTTGCTCCCTATCCCTCTTCCTGCATCTTATACCATCTCTCCCCCTATCCCTTTCCAAGCCCGGCGCAGTCTAGGCCTGTGAAGGCTGTTTCGTCATGAGCCGGGGATCCTCATGATGGATAGGCCGGGTCTTTGTAATATAGCAATAAGTAAGGTCTTTTACCTGCTTTTTGTAACATAACAATGAGTAAGGTCTTATCGCTGCATTGGCAACTTTTCAAACTCATTGCAGACAACTCTGCAGGCCTCATTCGTTACTTGTGATAACTTGAAACATGATGTTTATCTGGACTTGTCAGGTTAATGTGTCTTATTTAAAGTGCAATGAGGTTTTTTTGACTAGAAATTAGACAAATACACTCGTTGAGGTTTGAGTTTTTCCTGAGAATTTGTACTCTCCAACACAGGCAAGGGAACTTTTAAATACATAAAAACACTTCTGTGTTGCTGTAAGTCGGTCATGTAGGAGTTCATTTGTATCCAGCGTGATTACATTCTTTTAGGGTGTAACCGGATCATGTCAACCCAAAAGCACATGCTGAGCTCTCTTTTTGTGTGTAATAGGACATGTTAAGTCAATTGATAACCAGTTCCTCAATAGAGATACAAGTCAGCAAATTAAGCTATTTCTGCGTTTTAGATTGAAAAGCCCTCATATGCTTTGTCACCTGCACTGTAGAGTTTTGTGTATGGAAGCCCGAAGTGGACATACATCCATACTTTTTATTTTACTCCAGACATTTCCAGTTGTTTTTTTCTGGGGATCTGGATTTTTAAAAATGTTTTTATAAAGTGATAACGAGTTAATTTATCTAGATCTCGAGAAAGGGGAACAGGGAACAGGACAACTAGCTATAGTCATCAGTCATCTACCATTAGTATGTGAATCTGTAGGTGTGACCTGTGGTGTAAAATCACTTTGAGTAGTCAGAAGAGAAGAAAAGTCCATTTAGAGTCCATTTACCATTTCACTAGAAAATTGACTCGTTATCATGGAAAAATTGAGTAAAATAAAAAGGATGTAGCCTATATCTTAATTAATAATAATTATTTGCTAAACTGCTTTAGTTAAGATTTTACTTCCTGTGTCGTATTTTCAGTAGATGCATGTTATGAACTTCTCTGTATGATGCAGACGTCTGTTGCATACATCAGAATACGTTTGTTTTTTTAATGTAGCTGCACAATCAAACTTTGATCCAAGCACAACCGAGAAAGTTTAACAAAAAAATGAAAACATGATAATCACTTTGGTGAGGGATTTCTCTTTTCTGGAAATGGGGTAGGCCATATTTTAAACGTATCAGAATGTGTAAATGTGTTATTTAACAGATCTCAGTGCATCTGATCACTTTGATATTAGCACATTAACACACACACACACACACACACACACACACACACACACACACATACACATAAGAAAGCTGGTGATGTGTGACGTGGCTTCAAAACAGCCCTCTTTGTTAGTTTGCACATGTTGTCGCAGCGGTCATGTGACATGATGTCAGCGGATGCTGATGTTACGCCCTGCTGCAGCACAAAGCGGGTTATTATCGGACAGCATGTCTCTGTCATCTCCTCAGACAACTGGCTTCTTAGCCTGTCAATCACCGCTCAGAGACTGGACACTCGGTCCCTGCACGTCCCGCCTACATTGAGCTGCTGACCGGTGTTTTAGGAAACTGACATTCTCTTTAACTTTATCTTCACTTTTACTTCCATGAAAAAGTAAAGTCTCTGCATGATAACAACCCCCAAAGGCCTTCTCCTCTGAAAGAAAGCACCCCTGCATGTCTGACTGGATTTATGAACCACATCAACAGTGCTGAATGAAGTCACTCTGACCCTGGACTAGACATTTAAACCTCTCTGTCATATGTTTGTGTTCTTCCTGAAATCAAGCCAGGGATACACATGAACTGCAGAAGTTATAAACTCACTGAAAGCTCAGATAATTCCACTAATGCTGGACAAAACAAAGTAACCACTGATGTGCTCATGTTGTACCAAGATCCAGACATGGGTCAAGCATGTGATTAAAACCTGTACTGTAAGTTTCCAAACATGTCTCTCTCTCTCTCTCTCTCTCTCCCTCTCTCTCTGTTTCTCTGTTTTCCCTCTCTCGCTGAGGTCATCCTAACGCCGTCATCCACTGATGCCCAAAACCAACAAACAGCATCGGCTGAACAAACAGCCGGCTCACTCATGAGATCCATGTTGGTACACTGCAAAAACTCAAATCTCAGCAAGTTGTGTAGTCAAAAATATCTCATCAGACTTAATGTAAGCCACATTCAGACACTGAAAAGTCCAGGTATTCATCTTATTTTAAGACATAAAACACAAAAATAAGGCATGTATTGCCTGTAATAAGTTGTGCAGCAAGCACAATGCACTTATTTTAAGTGTCTTGAAATATGACACTACATCTCATTTTGGATATTACATCTCACTACAAGAAAGTCATGCGCATTTTGCATGCTGTATTAGCAGCCAGTTTTACTCATGACGAACAATTCTGACATTCTTATCTTGAAATAAGATGTTTATCTGGACTTGTCAGGTGAAGGTGGCTCATATAAAATGAAATAAGATATGTATGACTAGGAATGAGATAAATACATTTGCTAAGATTTGAGTTGAGTCACCAAAAATTCCAACTTAAAAAAGAAAAAGGCAACATCATCGGCATAGAGTGACATTTTTTGGGTTGAGGTAATTTATCGGTGGGGTGCTGGTGGCGCGGTGGTTAGTGCCCCATGTATGGAGGCTATAGTCCTCAAAGCGGGCGGCCCAGGTTCGAATCGAGCCTGTGGCTCCTTTCCGCATGTCATTCCCTACTCTCTCTTTCTGATTTCCAGCTCTATCCACTGTCCTATCGCTACATTAAAGGCACAAAAAGCCCAAAAATAAATCTTTAAAAGAGGCAATTTATCGGTCTGAGATTGCTGAAATTCCCACAATGTACACTAGACATGGAAGTGGTCATCATCAAACCAGAAAGGTCCTGCTGGGAAATAATTAGCTAAGTTAGCCAAACAGGTAGGAGTCCATTCAACTACAAAATCTGGTGGTGTAACCAATAAAACGTGTAATATATCTGAAAAACAACAGACTGAACTTCAAGAAAACTAAGACTGACAGTCATCATGATCTTTACATTTATAAAACTCATGTTCTAAATTTAAGGCAATGAAATCTTCAAGCATACGGTTGATTGGACGGTTGATTGGTGGAAAACCTTTTTTAGGAAATTAAGAATTAAGAATAACCAATGTGACTATGACTCTTTTTTTAAAGGATTTATGAGCTTGCTGTGTGAAGCTGTTTGATATAAATTTAGAACAAAAACAAAGTGCCACAGGATTGAACTTGTAGGCTGTACGTTGTGTTGGCTAATTTTAGATATCTGAGGTGCAGTCAAACTAAAAATAGCCAATGACAGCCGAGCAATCTTTTTCCCGACATGATAACAAGCATGTGTGAGTGCTGTGAATAAGCCTTGGGCGTGTGCAACATTGTCATATTTAGTTGTCAAAATGCAGTCACTTCTGTTTGATTCATAGAGATAAGATGTAATGAGGGTGAGAGTTGAACATCGTGCAGGAATGTGACTCCTTCCTCTCCTCCCACATGTATTTGAAATAGACGTGCGCAGTGTTTTTCATATTTTAAATATGTTGTTGTGTGGCAGTTTTGAAATATACAGGAACAAAGAGGTGAATTAACTTGCGAAAAGAATCATATTTGATGGCGGATGCTTCTGCAGGCATCGGTCGCTCGGTGCACTGAGTCGGCCTGAGCGTCATACCTGTGATGAGGCTGGAGACCAGAAGGGGCAGCACGAGCATCTGCAGCATCCTCATTAGCAGCTCTCCAGGAAAGGAGAAGAACTTCACTTCGCGGTACGACATCTTATAAGGCCGCACGGCAAATCCCAGGATGATGCCTGCAGAGAGGATCGTACGTGGAAGAAAATCAAAAAAACATAATTGAAATAGAGCGGAAAAGCGATTTGAACAAAGAAAATGTGGAATATTATTGTCATTATTTTTTTTTTGAGTTTAACTATGGACCAAAAGTTCAATGGTTAGCGTTGTCACGTCACAGCAAGGAGGGTCCTGGTTCGAATCCCCCCGTCAGACAGAGAGCCTCTCTGTGTGGAGTTTTCATGTTCACCATGTGCATGCTTGGGTTCTCTCTGAGAATTCCAGCTTCTTCCCACAGTCCAAAAACTCTCAGCTCTTTGGGTTAATTGGTGAATCTAAATTGGCCGTACGTGTGAGCACAAATGTTTCTCTGTCTCTATAGGTCAGCCCTGAGGTCGACTAGCAACCAGTCCAGGGTGTACCCTGCCCCTGGACTCCTGCCCCTGTGACCCCGAACAGGATCAGCGGAACAGATGATGGATTTTACATATTTTGATGATTACATTAAACCAAACTAAAATCAAAACACATAACCCAACACAAGGATAAACACACATTCACTTGCACACTCACACACACAACATTTAGACCAACCTATGATAAGATAAATGTTTCTAAACCGTGTGTTAAGGACACTCAAGCATACATATCATTACATATACTACATGTAATGTTAAACGCAAACCATCCAATTGGGAATACGCAAAAATATTATACGCATCAAAATAAAGCTCTCAGTGTAAAAATCAAAATGCTCTCATGTTCAGTCCAAATGTTCAGACACCACTGTTGACATTTTAAATTGTTAGTTTGCAATTTCTCCATGTGGAGAACCAGTTTGTGAAGAATGCTGGGGTTTGTGTCTTCCAGTCTTTATAAATATCAGTTGTACCCTGCCAATCAAAAAGTGCTGTTTGAATGTGTGAAGGGAAAATAAAAAGAATCCTAGAAGAAAGTGTGTAAAATAAAGTTTAACAGACATCAAAATGTTTTAATAATGATACATTTGTTGTGCTACAATAGCACTTGACGTTTCCCCTTATAATTATATAACCGTCTGGCATCCCCACTCGGTGATTTAGCTGTGCTCCCTCACACTTTCACAAAGTGCACATGTGACTCACGCTGAGGAATGATGCAGGTTAAGTGGGGACGATCTGATGCAGGTCAAAGCCTGTGACAACTTGATTCAAGGGAGGGTAGTCTTCCATTGTGCAAACGTCTGCATCTGTTTTTTTTTTTTATCGTGACTAGAAAAAGAGGGCAGTTTAAGATTCTTCATATTGTGCAATGACCGGTCAGGGGTTTAATTTTGAGCACACGGGGGGGGGGTCTTTGAAGTCTATTGTCTCAACAAGCAGTTTGTCCACTGCTGCGATAATCCTCCAGTAAGCCCAGGTGGCTGAGCAAGCAGCCAGTCAGTGAAGAATACCCTGACTTTAACAATCAATCAGACGTGTTTGTCATGGCTCGGTGTAACTCTAGCAGGGCTGCAGATGTGCAGGAGGTGGGTGGGCCCGGCTCGCTTCCTACCGAGAAGGTCGTGAAAGGTTAATGGAAAGATGTCAAAGGTCAAAGTGGGTCAGATAAAAGCCGGTGTACGGAGTTCATCTGAGTTCCCTCTATTCATTCCTCCAGAGGATTTGTTTCAATTCTTCTCCTTCTTCCGTCCTGCACGGGGGGGGGGGGGCATCGGTCACACAGGATTGATTTGTTGAAGGGTTGATGCAGAAAATCTGGTGCCCTCTTTTTTTACAAATATGGTAGGGGGGAGGGGGTTAAGGGGAAATTAGGAAACAAAGTGTCGTCCACTTCTCTCCGGGTGCCCTGTGGAAACATCTCAACTAAAAAACTCTTCTCACTCACCGATGATGACAGCAGCGACGGTGAAGATCACAAAGGCATTTCTCATGAAGCATCCTTTCACGTCGCTCCTGGTGATGTTCTCCACTCTCTTCTTGGCCAGCAGCGACCTGGACTGGATCCCGGCTCGGATCTGGTGGAGACCGCTCCGGCTCCTCTGGGGGTTCTCCCCGTTGCTCTGAGTCATGTCTTGCCGCTGGAGTCCTCAGATGTCTTGTAAATTGTTTTTCTTGACTTGACTTGACTTGAACTGCTCTTCACTTTGAGGGGGAACACCTCAGAGGTGCGGTTAATTCACTTATCGGCTGTTCCTCCTCCTCCACACTGTTGCTACTTCTTTGGTTACAAAGTCCTGACAGAGAGGGCAGACATGTTCATCAAATGATTAGTATAAGACATTTAAGCACAAAAAACAATTAGAAAAAGTAAACAACTTCCTCTGTCACATCCCTATTGCTTCAAACATCCACATTTTTCTAGTTTTATTTCACTTTTTGCCTTCCTATACTCTTACTTTTCACGCAGTATGGATTCAAATATAAATATCTTACCCTCTTGGACTGAAAAGAAAGACTGTGAAATGTGGCATAACTCAACTTTAGCACATTTCAAACATAAAAGCATGCAGCCTGAGAGCTTCACAAAATAACAAACAGACAGTAAACTGACAGCAGCAGATTGAATTATTAAAGGCTAAAACAAAAAAGTTGAAGTTTTCTGTGAAGGAAATGCTCAAAGACAGGCGAGTGAAGCACACATGTGTTGCAGCGACAGCTCTACCAGCATGCAGACTTCCTCCTGTGTACACTCTGGCTACTACTACACGTGTACAGTGTGGGTCTAATGGTTACACAACACTCTCACACACACACACACACACACACACACACACATACACATGAACATTAAACTCTTTAAAAATGCTGAAATGCTGAGATAGAAGTTGTCTGTACCTTTAGGCTTGAGCAATAACTTCCTCTGGAGTAATGTCTCTGTGTTAGTCAGGGAGGAGGGGGGGGATCAGTGTGAGAGGGACAGAGGATCTCTTTGGCTGTGAGCTGGTCGGTGCGAGCAACCAGCAATGAGGGAGTGAGAGGAGAGATGGGAGGAGAAAGGAGCGACCGGGGAGGGGATGAGGGAATAAAAAGGAGGCAGTGAGAGAATGGAGGCGGTGCTATAGTAGAAGAAAAACTAGTCTTAAGTCAGTCACAAAGTGCGGGCTTGTGGGGAGGTGAGGCGGGAGCTCCCAAAAAAAAGTGAAGTAATTTAGAGGAGGGAGGGTGCTTTTCAGACAGAGGAGAGCTTGAGGAATAATGAGCTTTTCCGAGCAGGAAAAAAAAAAAAGGGGGGAGAAAGGACCTTCTTGTTTTCTTCTGTCCCTCTCTGCCTTCCTTTCAAAATGGATTTTCACGCTTGATAAGTTCAACCTGATTGGAGATTCCTGTGGAGAGCGAAGTCAACAGAGACACAAAAGACACACATCCATCAAAAAAAAAAAAATGAAGAAAGAATAATAATATGGAAGTGGATTAGCTCCTTCATGCATTTATTTTTGGCACTTGTCCAACCAACACACTCATCAATCAATCTCCCTTTTGCTGCGTTCGACTGCACTAAACATTTACCCAAGACAAAGTCCACTTTTTTATTCATGGCTCTTTTTCGTTTGTGGAGCTAAACAGAGGCGGGTAAATATTTACCAAGTGCCAATGGTACAACTGGTGCTCAGTACGCTTTTGGCTAAGAAAGAAAGCAATCTTGCATAACCAGAGGTGCATGATGTGTTAAAGGAGACGGATTCGGCACAGTGGGGAGACAATAAAAAGTAGCACAGTTCAAAGAGGGATGATGAGCACAAGAAAAAGCTGGGAGTTTGGGGTTTGGCAGCAACCTTCAGGAATTCACAGTTTTGGCATGTGCGGTGTGTTTTAACGCGGAGGGTGTGTGCGGATATAAGTGTGTGAATGTGGGTTAATGTGCCTGAAAGAAAAAAAAAAAAGCAAGTAGGGGTGACAGGAAAGTGAGAGGGGCCGAGCTGAAGGCATCCTTTCTGACTCATACCACGGAAATCCATGTTTGGCACACACTCACACACACACACACACACACACACACACACTTAACCTCAAGCTATAAATGACCTCGGTTAAATTATTTAAAAAAACAACCTATGATGACGTAATTTTTTTCCACACTACTAGAAAGCAGAATTATTTCGAGGATTGACACTGCAACCACTTTTCAGCGTGCATGAGTGTGAAGAAAAGCTCACTCCAAAGGCAATCAATGGATGGATTAATGGACTAAAAGTACCAGTTCATATCCAGAGTGTAAATGTTTTTACAATGTTTGAGTGGTAATTGCTGTCAAATAAACTTATTTTCAAATTCAAAACACGATTCAAGCATGCGGGAATGCTGCAGCTGTTGGATATCAGAAAGCAAATACCTGGTTACTTTCAGACTGAGCTGTTGATCCTCTGTGTTTGTGTAACCTTCATTAGCTTTGGACAAACTGGCAATTACTGTGTGTGAGAGAGAGAGAGAGAGAGAGAGAGAGAGAGAGGATATAAACTGTGTCATGTTCCTCCTCTGTCATCCCCCGGGACTCTGAAACACTGAAAAGCATCTCTCAATGTTTTTTGTCTGAGTTTAGTCTGAGTTCTTTGCTGCAGACTGATTATCATTTTCCAGCGGCCGTCCTGTTAGAGCTGCAAACACAACTATGTTCCTGCTGTTAGTGAGAGGCATGGAAGACGTTTGGAAACCCACTTTAAGACGTATTCCATCTAAATAACTGATGATTATTTCCTCCTCCTCTCCACCACAGGGCAGATGACAGGACTTTCTTACGGTGACAAAACGTAAGCTGCAGCCGTTCCATACATAACTAAAACAAAACTCCCTGCTTTGACAACAATGTGCTAATGTGTTCACTTTTCTTATCATGTGACCACGCATGTGAAGATTACAAAGAGTGCAAAGCCAGCTGGTCACTTCGTCGTGTGTTATTTTTGCAGGGTTGTGGGGTTTAATCCACAGCTGGGGGGGGATTGACGCTGTGTACCAAATTACTCCTGACGGTCAGGCCAGCATCCTGCATGGGACAGAAGCTCCGCTAATGTTAATGTGTGTGTGTGTGTGTGTGTGTGCAGAGGTAAATAAGGCATTATTCTGATCTATCTGTGACAGTTCAGTAACATGTATGGGTATTTACAAGAGAAAAAAGAGCTGAATTATTAAAAAGAAATACTTCTCCGTAAATGATATTTGATGCTGATCAGCCAGAAAGTCGGGGAAGTAGGTCATTTATTTTTAACACAAATTGTTAAACGTAACATTTTTTGGCCTTTTTTATTACATTGGTAAGAAATCTTCCGGAAATCAGGCTCATGAGGAAACACGAGGGCTTGAAAAAGGGATAGAGGGAGATGGGATAAGATGCAGGAAGAGGGATAGGGACCAGGAGGCAGGGGGGCAACGGGGGGGGGGGGGAGGGGGGGGGGGGGGGGTCCCGAGGAGCCTAAGAGAGCTCAGGAGCTCCCAGGAAAATATGTGGTTCGTGACTTAGATGCACAAGCATAAGCGAACCAGAAGCGGACCTCAGCTCATGCTTTGAGTACGCAAAGGGGTAGAGAACGAGCAGGGAGACAGGGAGGCGTCTGATTGGTTCTTCAGATCGGTACCTCGTGGCAGACATTGGTCAAAGTTTTTACAGACTTAAAACTGATTCAGATGACTGATTTTCTTTGTTCCTTTTTTCAGAGAACATGAGTTATTAACTTCTGTCAGGACCTAAAGACAATTTCAACCAGAATCTTAAAAAGTGGATCAGGAGAAAATGACTAACCCTGCCTATCATTTGAATACCACTGTAAAGTAGACCTTCATTAGTAATAATCCATCATTCAGTCAGTCAATCAGTTTTTTCTTTGTCCGACTGCAGACTTCAAATTCTGTAACAGATATGACAGCTCCCTCCACTTTGCCTTCATCACTTATTATTTCTTCAGTAAATGAGTACAGTGGGTTTTTCATTCTTTCATTTCTTTGTCGGAGGAAGTTGTTCGTTAACTTGTTAATGTTCATCTTTTAAAAGCTTTGAATTGGCGGACATTGATCTGTTTGTGTAAAAATGTTATTGCTTCACCAGCCTTCAGGGGAATGATTGTCTTCCACATTCTTTTTTAGCTGTTTTTCAAATTAAAAATAAATAAATAAAAAATATTGTGTGCACTACTTCAACTCTAACAGACCTAGTCCTTGTCTTTCCCATCGTTCAACCTCAGCTCATCTGGAAAGTTTTAAAAACCAGGACCCCCACCACAGCTCCTCACCGCAGCGACACACATGGCATCCGTCTCACAGCAGCTATCCCAACAAGCAACAACACACACAACAGCCTCCTTTGTCTCCAGAGCTCAAAGCCAAAGAGAGAGATCGGCTGATGGGGTCAGCTGAAGAGCCAAACCTGTAAAAATTGAAGAAAGGAAAAGAGAATCAGGGCGCCTGCCAATAAAACACAAAGAAACAAGAGAGAAACAGGTGAATGTGACACATCGCCATCGCCATGGCTGCTGGGGAGAAAATGTGTCGCCTTTGGCCCAAGTTTGTGAGTCTTTTTGTGTAAATTAGACCAAAACAGAACGTGAAGGTTCAGTTTTTGCGGCGTAATGAAGTGATCCAAACAGGGTTAGAAACAAGATTTATTTATTACATATACTTCTCGTAGCAGCCAAGAAGGCAGTAACACTGAACTGGCTTAAGAGAGACCCCCCCCCCCCCAACCCACGAGTCTTGGAAATTACTTGTCAAAGGAATTTACATAATGGAAAAGATAACTTTCAAAATAAGACTGCAAAATGCAACATTTTTTGACAGATGGTTTCCATGGCAACACAGTGATGGAGGATGTTTAGATACAGGTTGGCAAGAGAAAATGTGGTGATATCTTAATTTAATCAAATACATAATGAATAGGGGATGTTTGGAAACACTGAAATGACATCATGTAATGTGTGTGTCACTTTTTTGTTTTGGTCTGTTTTGTTTTGGGTTTGAGTGTGTGTGGTTAATGAGGGTTGCTTGTTTTTTGTTGTTTATTTTTCAAAAAAATGAAAATAAATGAATGTAAAAAAAAAAAACAAAAAAAAACAGGGTTAGTAACGGGAAACAACTGACAGTTTTCTTTTTTCTTTGCATCAAATTTCCTTGAAATAGAAAAACATGTCACTGCAGCAGCATCCCCCTCCTCTCATCCTCCAAACTTCACATCAAATACCTCCTTTCCTCCTCGGTGAAGACTTCTCTGCGAGCCTCAGTCAGAAGTCTCCCTGCTGTTAAATAGATTACAGGAGGAATGTGGAACAAAACGGCTTTCTGTTTTTCCCATCCCGATGTGACGTTCTTTTCATACATCGTTTGTTCAGAGGAGGAACACGCCTTTAATGGTATCACATGTTCTGCTCGGATCAACTGTGAAGGGATCAAAGCAGGAGAATCAGATCAACTTTGGTGGAAAACAAGCAGCTTGATGTGTTTTTTGTTTTTTTTTGTTTCACCTCCCTGAAAAAAGAGGAGATAATGATTCCTTTTTGTTACATCCCTCATCGAATTACACAAACATTTCAAGAGGGATGTTTGGGCTGTTTTCTTTTGCCAGAAAGTGATGAAATTACACTGATAGTTTTGCAAGATGTCCCATGATGCACTGCTTTAGCACTGTAACTTAAAGACACTATTTCATCAATAAGACATGGAGTCACAAAAACACAGACTTTCTCTTTTTTTCCCGATACACACACACGATTTACCCGCTGATACACACATGCTGTATCCTCAGTCTCAGCACCACAGAGGGTGTGTAACCCTACCTAGCCCAGGTTCTTCCACCACGGCCCGCCATTTCAGATGGGAGTGGTCCAATCCCAGGGGAGTGATGTATCCAGGACAGGTTATAAGATCTGCGGTCTACAGTGGCCCTCTTGGGACACACAGAACTGGGGCCACTTTGTTCAGCGGCGTTATTGTGCACGAGGGTTTCCCATGGATCAAATGTTACAGACTTCAAAACCCCGGGGTCTCAGCGCGCTCG